CCTTAATTCTTCCTAGGTAGATAGCAAGTGGTTCCTTGTTGAAGGGTTTCTTGGAGTCCACAATTTATGGATCTTCCAAATGTGACTAGATCTCTATGCTAAGGCCCATGACTGGTAACAGCCTGATATGGCTTGTGGTAGCTTCACATGGTCTGGTCCCCAGATTCCATAATGTCAGGAATCTTGAATAAATAAGATACCATTTAGTCAAACCATTTTTTTTAAGGATGGAGAAACTGGGGCCCAGAGAGAGTAAAGGATTCATACAGTGAGTTAGGGGCAGTCATGATAAAAATCTAGGCTTCCCAACTCCCAATCTGGGGGTCTTTCCACTATATGCCTCTGTGGGAATCCTTCCCTGATTCCCCTAGCTATTAGTTGTTCCCTAATGACTCAAATGATCTCATATTTACTTATCTGATTACATATTATATGTTATATGTTGTCTCACCTTGTAGAATATAAGCTCCTTGAGATCAAGGAATATATTTCATTTTAATCTTGTTATCCGCAGTAGCTGGAATAATCGCTGGTACAGAGTATGTACATCCTGCACATAAAATATCATGCTAAAATAAATGCTTGTTGAATAGTTTGGATACTTCATGCCTAGTATACCATCTACACAGTCAAATTAAAAGGGAAGAGAAAGGCCATGATCTCTAGGAGGAAAAAGATAAGGAATCCACATGATTCAAATGTACACACTATAGTTGCCAATTCACTGAATATTAGACTGTAAGTTTCTGAGGGTAGAGACTATGAATAAACTATGCTTTGTCTTTCCCTAAGTTCCCAGCACAGTACTCTCTATATAGTAGATGCTTAATAAATATTTGTGGAATAGTTTAATTAAATTGCTCTAATTCCCACTTGACTTTGGCTGCATAAATAGAGGGAACTTTTGATTTCATCGGTATGGGGAACTTCCAGGTGAAGAAATTCTACCTATTAATGTAGGTTGGTATCTTCTCTGCAACTTTTCATCTTAAGAGAGTTGCCAGCTTGATGAAAAATGCTATCCACCTCCAGAAAAAGAATTGCTGGAGTCTGAATGCAATCAAAGCAGACTATTTTTCACTTTTTTTGTGTGTGTTTTTTTCCCTTTTGGTCTGTGTCTTCTTTCACAACAGGATGAATATGGAAATATGTTTTGCACGATTGCACGTGTTTAACCTACATGAAATTGCTTATCATATCAGGAGGGAGAAAATTTGGAATTCAAAATTTTAAAAAATGAATGTTAAATATGAGAGAATGAAAGAGAAAGAGAAAGAGAGAGAGAGGGAGAGAGAGAGAGAGACAGAGAGAGAGAGAGAGTTGTCTGGAAAACTGAAAAGTTAAGTGACTGGCCTGAGCTCTCAAGGGCCGTACGTGTCAAAGATGGGACCAGCTCTTTATTCACTATGTGATGCTGACTTTGGGCTACGTAGACAAAGCCTGAATTGGTATATTACAGGATATTAAAGGGGGGAAAAGTCTTACTAATCAACCTGAACTTTTATGTTGGGGTCTCAACTGATGCATTGGGAATCATTTATAATACTTGAGTCCATGGGGAATAATTCTTTGTATGTTTAAGAAGAATAAGGAGGGGAGAGAGGACTATATCCTGATTGTTTACTATTCTTTAATGAACAATTTATTTTAATGAGCTTTTTTGATTCCCTCCTAAAAACTCAATCCTGACTTGGTAGGACTGACTATCCCCAGGGCCTTGGCTAGATATGTAAATGAGCCCTTTTTAATCTCTGTGATTTTTTTTCCCCTTATTTCATTCCTTACAGGCTCCTTGTCTTTGGTGACTTGACTTATCTGGTAAATAACTTCAGGCATAGTCTTCCAGTTGAAGGATTTCCTGTCTGATCTGAAAGACAGTGGATATTTTAATGTTATCACTTTATTGCAAAATGGTATAAGACTCTGTCGGACAACAGTGGCAAATAGACCCAGTCATTCATCACAAGACCAGAGCAAAACCCTGCTTTGTAAAAAACAAATAAACAAACAAACAAAAAAACCCATAACCCAACAAAAAACTCCTTCCTTCCTAAAACCACAAAAGCAATGTCAACGTTATTCTGAGGAGAGGGCACACTGAGTTTTTTCCTAAGGCCAACTGGTGGGCAAGTGGTCCATAGTAAATTTCCTGGACTTTCCTGTCCCCCTTATTAAGCCTTAGCTGCTATTTTAGGGAACAATGAACAAAGATGAATAAAAAAGAAAGGGGCAGGGATCTTTGTAATTATTCAAAGGCTAACTGTGTGACTTAAGAATAATGCATTATTTTTCCTTGTATGTATCCTGAACCAAGTAATGCCCTCTCTTGGGAACCGCAATTAGTCAGTGTTTAGTTTGACCATCTGTAAAATGATCATAGTATCACAAGTTTAGAGCTATAATACTCCATAATGATCATCTGGTCTGACCCCCCAATTTTACAAATGAAGAATTTGAGCAACAGAGGTGAAGTGATTTGTCCAGGGTTGTACAGTTAGTTATGTGTGAGAGGTGAGATTTGAATTCAGATCTTCTTGACTCCAAGTCCAATACTCTGTCCACCAAACCTAGTAATGTTTTTACTATCTGCCTCACAGAGGTGAGGAAAGAGCTTTGTAAACCTTCAAACTTATATAAAAACATGAGCTGCTGTTTGTAGTAGAATCAGCAGCAGCAATAGTAGTGATAGTAATAGTAGTAGCAGTCAGTAGTAATAGCATTCATATAGTGCTTTAAGGTTTGCAAAGTGCTTCTCTTATGTTATCTCATTTGATCCTCAGAATAATCCCAGGAAGGAGGATTACTATTGTCCTCATTTTACAAATGAGGAAACTGAGGCACAGGGTAGTTAAATGACTTTTCCAGGGCTACATGGCTAGTATCTGAGGCTGGATTTGAACTTAGATCTTCCTGACTTCAAGTCCAGTACTTTAGCCATTGCACTACCTAGCAGAGTTAGAATTGTTTCTTACAGATGGGGTTATCTGGAGAAAATTCTTTGGATCCAAGTACTCTAACCTTCGAAAGAAGAGTAGAGCCCTAACGATCCATCATGCTGGGGTTAGGAGAGGAATTGGAAGTCATTTCCAGGAAGGGCAGAAACCTGCCTGGTAGGTGTTATATACGCACAGACAGGGTCCTAATTAGGGCAAGGAGATAGAAGCTTTGCCCCAATTTAGAGTTCTACCAAAGTTTAACAATGCTGTCCTAAAAACATCTAAGCTTAGCACCTAGTTAGCAAGAAAAATGAGTTAAAATAGGAAGCTAACACCTGTCTGTGAGCCACTGCATTAAGTAATTCCCCTTCTTGCTCAATTAGATTTGTCTTAATTATTTCATGTATTATTTTCCACATCAAGAATTACAAAATTGATTCCAGGAACTGTTTTGTGCTTCTTGATCTGGGAGGCAGTCTGATTAATTATGGCTATGGGCACAAATATAAAAGAGACATCCCAGTGATGAAGCAGCGAAGGTTGAAGGATCATTCTTGGGTGAGGCTAGGAGAAGTGAGTGTGGAGGATCAAGATGGAGCCTAGGAAGTTTAGCTAGATTAGATTTAGGTCAAGAAGCATGGAACTCGGTGGTTAGTAGAGAGATTTCTTTTATGCTCTGTATCTTATTGTGATGATGCTGAATTAATAGCCTTCTTTTTCCTTGTGAAGACATAGCTTCAGCAATGGGAACATTCATTCCCTTAACCAATGCAGATCATGACCCCTCTGTTCCTTACGAGGGCAGTCTCTGAGGCCAATGCCCTCTAGCCCAGTTCTGCCCTGAGCTCAGCCTGGCTACTCCTCAAAGGACAGAGACGTAGCCCATCCCTATATGTGTACTGTAGGTTGTTCCAGCATGCCAAGATCATTTAGAACTTGTATTCTGTTGGCATGGGCATTGGAAGAGTGCTCATTAATAAGTCTTAGCAAAAGTGCCTATGTGGCCTGTAGTTCATGACAAAGAATAAGAATGGAAGCAGGAAGCAGGTGCCAGAGCTTGGGCACATGGGCAAAGTGGAAACAGGAAGATGGAGTACTAGGACTTTAACTTAGGAAGACCTGAGTTCAAATCCTGCCTCACACACTTACCAACTGTGACCCCTTGGGCAAGCCACTTAACATTCTCAGTTTCCTCATTTATAAAATGGGGACAGTGGCGTAGTGGATAGAGCACTGGGCTTTGAGTCAGGAAGACCTGAGTTCAGATCCAGCCTCAGAAACATTACATGTGTAACCCTGGGCAAGTCATTTAACCTTTGTCTGCCTCAGTTTCCCTATCTATAAAATGTGGATAGTAATAGCACCTGCCTTCTAGGGTTGTTGTGAGGATCAAATGAAATAATAATTGTAAAGCACTTAATACCGTGCTTGGCACATAGTAGGTGCTTTATAAATGCTTGTTCTCTTCCCTACCACACAGGGTGATAAGGACCATTGAAATACTATGTGCAAAGTACTTTGTAAATGTTTAAACGCTTAGATTGATTCCCAATGACCAACACAAAGACGCTTTAAACAGCACCCTTTATTATAATCCTTAAGTAATTATATAATCAGAACAGCAGTGATTAAGAGACACCATCCAATAGCAACAGAACACCAGTTCAACTGGATCCCTTGGTTACCAAGCACTGACGTCCATGCTTAGCTATACGGTAGAGGGGGCTGAGAAGTGGAACAGGTGACCTGTCATGGAGGAGCTGATGGTCTAGACAAGTAGGGCAAGGCTCCTAGCATGGAAAGTTAAGTTTCAAGACGAGGCTATTGTTGCAAATGGGATGCTGGCAGTACTCTCCCTTACCAGGTCTTAAGTGAACAAGCTTCTTGAAAATGGGGTTTGCCATATGTGTGTATATGTATGTATATATGTATATACATATATACATATGCACACACATATGCACACATGTGTATATACATACAAATACAGAATATGTATATATGTATGTATGTGTGTGTGTGTGTGTAGAGAGAGACAGACAGATAGACAGATGGACAGACTGAATGAACTATCTGTGTGGGGGTTTTGAAAAAGCAGTCTTCTTAGGATTGTAGACCTTGGTCTATATAGCACAAAGTAAAGGGAAAAAGCGGATAATCGTCTGCTAAACTGTGCCTATGTAGACAACTCAAGTCATTTAAGACCAAAAGTGCATTCAACATGGCTGTGATTAGTTTTGCCCAGGGGGGTGACATAGCACCTCACATCATGCTTCTGATAAAAGTTGCCTGGGTCACTTAACCTGTGAGGTAGGAATCTATCCCAGTCTCGTGTCTACACTATGGGGAGTGCCATACATTTGATGGACACTTCCTCCCCCCACCCCCAGACTGGCTACCTAACCAGATAATGTCCCTGGATGTGGGATGGATGCTCCATTTGACTCCTCTGTCTCTACAGGCCCCAGATTCCCAGATACTATCCCTAGACGTGGGATGCATGGTCTACTTGGCTCAGCCGTTCCCCAATGTCCCACCACACCCTGCACTTGGTACTTGATCCATGTATTCTTGACTTTGGGTCTTGGGGGAGTTGCAAAAGGGGCAGCTAGTCATCAGTGGGTTTAATCAGGTGACCATTGAAGGTGATGTAGATGTCTGATTCCTCACTGTAGATGGCATTCTCTCGTTCTCGCTTGAACATCCTCACCCAGACCTCGTCTCCCTCTTCCAGGTCCAGCATGAGGCTCTGGCTCTGCATGATGCTCCGGTCACTGGGCTGGGTGTACAGGATGGCTGCCTCCTGGTCGTTCCTCATCAGGTGCAGGTAGGTCTCCTTGAAGTTCCAGGTGTGCACATTTAGGTTGAAGAAGTAGACGCCGGCCACGTAACAGGAAAACCGACCCGTGAACATGTTAAAATGCTTGTAGAGATTCACAAATTCTGTGTCAAACGTGACGTCTTGGAAGTAGTCATTACTGTGGAGGACCTTTTTCCGGCCCACTGAGAAGGCTTCGTAGACATGCTTGCAGGAATTTCCTGGCAGGCCAATTTGTCCTTTCTGGCCTTTCCGTCCTCTGTACCCTCGTTGGCCGGGTATCCCCTCCTTCCCACTCACTCCGGATTGTCCTTTTTCTCCCGATTCACCTTTCTCTCCTGCAGTCCAAATAAAACTTAGGATGTCAGAGCTAAAAGGAACCTTAGAGATTACCCAGTCCAAACCTTTTGTTTTACAATTGGGAAAGTGGAGGCTTAGAAAGATTAAGTGACCTGTTCCAACTCACAGAGACAGAAAATGACAGAGGTGTCCAGGATTAGGACACACATACATCATGTAACTCTAGATCCAGGGCTCTTTCCACTGTCCCTCATTTTTATAGAGGAATAAGCAAATCTAGAAAGGGGAAGGATCAGTTTAAAATGTCACCATGAACTGTGGTAAGGACTAGATTAGAACTTTGTCTCTCTTCTTTCCCAATTTAGGGTTCTTACCACCCTTCATTCTTCCCTCACCATTCCCCAGCACTTCTCTTCCTTTCTAAACTCTTCTATTAGGAAGGATCTGCAACAATGCCTACCTACTTATGCTTCTGGACTTGGAAGGCTTTGATTGCCCTATACTGGTGAATAATAATAAAAATGATGGTCATAATGGAGCATATTGTATAGTGCTTTGAGGTTTACAAAGATCTTTTCTCATAATCTTGTGAAATAGGTAGTATAATTATCATTAGCTCTATTTAATAGGTAAGAAAACTGAGGCAGCTAGAAATTAAGTGACTTGCCTAAGGTCACACATATAGTATATTACAGAGCTAGGGCTCCATCTCAGGTATCCTGACACCCAGTCTGATGCTCCTGGCCTAGCAATCTTTCCATTACACCACACTTGATTTTTGAGGCGTTATATTATTAAAATTATATTTTCTTTAAAAAAAAAAAACAACCCAAAGATCACTCCTTAAGTTTGTTTGGTCTGAGTACTCTGGGGGTTATCTGTTGATGTAAGTAATCCCTGTTCTTCCTTCTTACTGGGTGAGGTCTTTGGGCTCCCCCCTTTTGGGGATGCAGTATGGGTAGCACAAACTAACCTTTAAGAATGGTGATGTCAATGGTGGGCTGCAGCCGGGGCATCACCCATGAGGGATGGTTACTCATCCTACTGGAAGGGGGAGGGACAGCAGCAGGGGGTCCTGTGGGACTGCAGCATCGGACACACTTCTGGGCCCTCTGTTTGGATTGCCCCAGGTCTGGCCAGGCCTCAGCGTGCAACACCAAAACCAACAGCATAAAGAGGAAGGACCCCATCTCAGCTCCTGAAATGGAAGCGCGAGTGTCACCAAACCAGGCAACACATTTGGTGGGCCCCCAACCCTCTATCACAAGCCGGTTTGCCTCTCAGATAGCCTCAGAGAGAGCACATGGATGCATGTGAAATCATTAACTAATCTATCAGAACCCATTTTCTGTTTTTCCATCCTATATCGACTCTGTAGCGGGTGCAAAGATGTACAATACAGTCCCTGCCTTCAAGGTGATTATAGTCTGCCGGGGAAACACAGGCAGAACACACCACGTGATGGGCAGAGATATCCCCCTCACTCTACGTCCTTAAGCAAGTACCAAAAGATCCCCTTTCTGGTGAAGATTCTTGTGTTGGGATGTCGAGGTATCTGTTAGAATAAATGGTCATTGAGGTGCCTCTCAGCTCTGAGAGTCTGATTCACAACATAAAGTACATCAAAACAAGGAATCTGAAGGGACATTGCTGACTTGCCCTATCTGACCTCAGTTTCCTCATGAGATTGTACAAAGTGGTCAATGAGGTCATTTCTAGCTCTGACCTTTGATCATGGTAAGTACCGTGGGACATCAGAGGAGGGAGAGGCCAACTCACCCATCTTTGCCCCTTCTCTTCCATACTTAAGATCATAGATATAGAGCTGGAAGGCACCCCAGAGGCCACGGAAGCCAACATCCTTATTTTACATACGGGGAAACTGAAGGCAAGGAAGGAGTAGTGGCTTTCCTAAGGTCACCCAACTGGTCTATGCCATCAGCAGGATTCTCAAGCTTCTACTCCGGCCCAGCCCCTCATAATCTCTTGTATGAGATGGACACAGATTATCAAGTTATCTTTATTGCAAGTTATGATTAATAACGGTCATGGAAATTAAATGAACTAGAGCCACAACTAGAGAAAGGCAGCCTGGCGTAGTGGTTAGAGAGCCGACCTCAGAGTCAGAAGACCTAGGTTCAAGTTTTACCTCTGACACATACTGGCTAAGTTATAACCTCTTAATAGCCCAGGCAACTATGAGTCAGATTTCTGCTCACTTCCCCCAACCCCTCTCCTGCCCCCAACAAAAATACCAGAAATCGAGTTTGGAGTTAGAGGGCCTTGAATGCCAGGATAGGGTTCTTTGAAAATTCCTTCGTCCTCTACAGCTAATCTGATTCTCACCTCTCCTTTACAGTCATGTTAGAGTCCTATCTTCTTGATGAAAGCTTTCCTGATGTCGATACCCCACAATGAGCTCTCATCCCAATCAACTGCTATGGTCTGTACTGCTCCATTGAACTGAGCAAGCATTACCTCGGCTTCTGAATGTCTTTTTACCTGAGTACATGAATCCACTGAGTCTACTGAGTACTATAAGGATAGTATTGCTTTATTCACCTCCTATGGGTCACAGTGCATTGAGCCCAGAAGATACATTTTTTAAGAACTAAACTATACTTTTAAGGAACTCCCGGAAGGGAAATTCCCTTTACTAGTGCAGGCAGGCATTTGATTTGTAATCTATAGTTTTACCGCATTTCCTGGAGGCACCAGGAATTGAATTCAGGTATTCTTCAGTTTAAGGAGGACTCTTTACCTGTAACACTAGACTTCTCATTGATAGGAGTTCAATGAGTGTTTGCTGAATTGTAGAAATTATGGATCACATAGGGGAGGCAGAAATCAATTGTTAGAGAGCCTTAGAATTTAGACAATGGAGTTGGAATGTGAGAGTTGATCAAGAACCACTTGTAGATTGAGGAGATGACTGAATCCCTAGCCAGACCTATTGCCTCTCGTCAAATCTAAATACTATTGCCTTCACTCCCTAGGCTGGCCAAAACCAAATCAGCATGGAGTTTGGGGATTATAGGAGTAAACTTCTTCCTGGTGCCTGTATAATTGACTCCTGTTTCCTAAAGGGTTTGGCACCCCAGTCTACTGTACATCTGAAAAGCAATGAATAGTTTTTATTCTAAAGACCTTATTCTTCCTTCCTTCCTTCTTTCTTTTTTCTTTCTTTCTTCTCATTTTATAAACTTCTACAATCAGAGCTAAGTTTGTGTGTAAATCAGATATAGTGCCAAGTTCTAATAATCTTACCAAAAAAAGAAAATGAAGAGGATCAAATAATCACTTTCTTAGATAGCATCTCTAGTTTCTGGGAGATAATCACTATTATTTTAAAAAGGATCTTTTCCCAGTCCTCACTGACCTATGTTCACTTCCAATAAATGGCTGGAAGAAGAGTGTGATTATTACATGTTTATTATATAGTCCTCCTTGGAGGTTCCTTTGTCTTGCCTTGGGAGCTCAGAAGAAAGCATTATTGAATGTTCAACATGAGGGATTGATATAACCCCTAGTTCTGGGAATGAAATGAGAGCTTATCTTGCATTGGGCCACTCTCTTGGGTGCCTTTAAGAGATTAATTCTGTATACCATGTGGCTCAGCTGCCAGCAGTGGGAATGTGGTTTCCTCAGTTGGGACTCATTTATTTCAGTATGATTTACGATTACTGCTAATAGCAACAATAACAAGGATGATGATGATAACAGTCTCTTATACTTGAACTGCTAAAATGCTTTCATGCCCCTTTCTTCATTTGAAACTTACAACAACACTGTTAGACTATAAGACAGGTGTTAGTTTTTAGCACCATTTTATAGGTGAATAATCTTAGGCTTGAAGAAGGAAGTAATTGTCCACGGTCAGGTGCCTAGTAAGGGGCAGATCCAGACCTAGAGCCATATCTAGCAATTTTTGCACCTGGGGCAAGCACTAGAAATGTCTAGGGGTGATAGGCTTGACTAAACTGGGGTATGACCTTCTTTGAGGAAGAAAGTATGGAAAACAATATCTTGAGATTTCTATGCTGCTGAAGGATCAGCGACTTTGGAGTAGGCAGGAGAAGCCAGGCGGTTCTGGAATGCCCATGGAGGGGAAGAAATGTGTTTCTTGGTAATGACTGGTGTCCTTTAAATATTTGCCCTAGAGTAAAGCCTTGATCTCTCTACCCTGACTCTTGTCAGAAGTAAGCCTGTAGAATAATGTATTCGTAGAAGGTAAGAACTAGAAAGAATAACTCCCCATCCAATCTGGTGCCATCACTTAGGGAATTGAAGCAAGCCCCTCACTTAGGGGGCTAAGTGACTTGCCTACGGTCACACAGAAAATAAACCCAGGTCTTTTCCCACTCCCATTAGGTCACTTCTCTGAAAAATAATCATTCACACATTTCCAGGTCTTCATAATTTGGTAAGACCTTCCACATCCTTATCTGATTAGTGAAGTATAGCTAAGAATGATTTGGAGTCAAAGGACTGGAGCTCTTCTATTTAACACCTGTGTCTCCTTGGCTAAATCACTTAACCCATCATGATAAGCCTAGTTTTTCAGCTGTAAAATAAAAGGACTGGACTAGATGACCTTTCTGTTTCTTCTTGGTCTAGGTCTGTGATCCCGAAGGACCACAGCAGATTGACTGGACTCGTGATCTTAGTTTAGGGAGCTGACAAACATCTGTCTTTGGTTTGAGAGAATGTGGAGGGCTCAGTGATGTCCATCACTGTTACTAGAAACCCCAAGATTGGAGTATGGATTCTTGTCTCATCCACTGTGGTTGTTCTACCCACTACCTAACCTTTGCGTGTGTGTTTGAGTTGGGGGGATGGATGGGGAGAAAGCAAGCCCACAGGCTATTAATCTACCTTTGATAAGTAACTTGAGGATCAGGCATTATCAGAGAAACCTGTGCTATTTTTGCACAGCCCCAAATAAAATGGAAATTTGAAAGGCATAGAAATAGATTTGTTTTAGTATAGACCCCAAGGTTACGATGCCCAAGACAGCTCTGCGTTTTTGATATTCTTTCTCAGTAGCAAATTCTGTCTTCAAGACTAGAAGTAGGATAGTTGTCTGGAGGCCTGGGGGAAGCCCTCCCCTGTCTGGCTGCTCTTTCTAAAGGAAGAGCAGGAATAGCTGTGGCCTGAAGCCCTGGATAGTCTGTTCTGAGGCCCAGTCTCCTGGGGCTATGCGCAGCCTAGCCTTTGGTCAAATGTTTTTCTGTCTTCAGAGCACCACTTGACTTTGGCTGGGTCAGACAAGGGCACAATTCATTCCTGCTCGGGAAAGGATCCACACCGGAGATTTAAAACTCATCAATCTGTCTGCTCCAGCTGAGCCAGATCTAAATGGGGGGGAGGGGGGGAATGTCCTTAACACTTTCCTGACCAATTCAGGGTAAAGTAGGGAATGACCTTTGACAGGCCAATTAAAACTCTGTTAACATCATAGAATACCAGGACTGGATGAGGCCTGAGAGGTATTTTAATCTAATCTACCAGTTTTAAAGATAAAGAAACCTACTTAGTGTGTTTGAATCTGGATAGCAAGGCCCCTTTTTTAGCAGAAGCCTCACTCCCCATAGGTTGATTTGCCTGTTAGTGCTCCATCCTCTTCTTCATTTACTCTATTTCCTATGGACTTTTCATCAAGGGCTCAAGTCTTGCCTCTGCTACTCATTAATTGTGTGACCATGGACAAACTGCAGTTCAGAAAAAGAAAGGCAAGCCTGTAGTGGTTGTCTAGCTACTCAGAAATTCAGGATTATCCTCCCACATTGGCAGAATAGGTAGTTGCCTTCAACTTGAAGAGCATCACTGACAGATTTTCCCATCTTATTAATTTTGAATATTGTCATGGTGCCTGAAATTTCACCATTAGAGATTCATTTCTGTAAGGGAAGGGACTGAGTCTTCAGGTGGCCAAAGTTAAAGGAATGACACACACATCAACTACTAATGCCCCAGTATTTATTAACTTATCAGATTAGTCAGCTGCCTAGCAGAGGGAAAGGTTTTCAAAGACACGGACAAAGAACTGGTAGGTTTTGAAGGACACAGCTGTATATGGCAGTTCAATAGGTGGTAGGCCCCTTGAGGACAGGGTCTCATTTGCTTTTGTCTTTGTATCTAGTGCTTGGCACATAATAAGTGTTCTGTGGATTTGTGGATGGATGCACTGAAAGTGGC